GACGCTTAACCGACTGCGCCACCCAGGCGCCCCTGAAATACCTTATTTTAAAAGGAATTTGTGAGTTCAGTCTGTGATTGTTACTAACTTCCCCTTGAGCTGAATTGTTCCAAATGCTAACCTAACTGATGATAGAATAATAAGAGTGATGGAGAAATGTAAGAAATCTGGTAATTTACAAAGTTAATCAGCTTTTGAACAAGCACTTAAATGTTGACTATAATAAAAGAAAAAGGTGGTTTCCCCCAAGGTCTTGATATCTCACCTCACATCAGTCATAATGGATAGTACCAAATAGGCAAGAAATAAGAAGTGTTGGCAAAGATGTGGAGAATAGGGAACCCTTGTGCACTCTTGATCAGATTGTAGATTGGTGCAGCATATGGAAAACAATATGGAGGTTCTCAAAAAATTAAAAATAGCAATACCATATGACTCAGTAATTACAATTCTTGGTATTTATCCTAAGAAAACAAGACATATGCACCCCTGTGTTTATTGCAACATTATTTTCAGTAGCCAAGATATGGAAGCAACCTAAGTGCCCATCAATAGATGAATGGGTAGAGAAGATATGGTATTACACAATGGAATATTACTCAGGCACAAAAAAGAATGAAACTGGGGCACCTGGGTGGCTCAGTTGGGCATCCAACTTCGACTCAGATCATGATCTCACGGTTTGTGAGTTGCAGCCCTGTGGTGGGCTCTGTGCTGACAGCTCGGAGCCTGGAGCCTGCTTCAGATTCTGTGTCTCCCTCTCTCTCTGCCCCTCTCCCACTCATGCTCCTCTCTCTCTCCTTCAAAAATAAATGAACATTAAAAAAAAAAAGAAACCTTGCCATTCATAGCAACATGTATGGACCTTGAGGATATTATGCTAAGTGAAATAAGTCAAAGAAAGACAAATACCATATGATTTCACTTACGTGTGGAATCTAAAAAAAAACCATGAACAAACAAGCAAAAAGAGACTCCTGCATGCAGAGAATAAATTGGTAGTTGCCAAAGGGGAGTGAGAGGATAGGTGAAATAAATGAAGAGGATTAAGAGATACAGGGGCGCCTGGGTGGCTTGGTCCATTAAGTGTCTGACTCTTGATTTCGGCTCAGGCCATGATCCCAGGGTCGTGAGATCAAGCCTTATGTCAGGCTGTGCTGGGCGTGGAGCCTACTTAAGATTCTCCATCTCCCTCTTCTCCCTTCCTCCCCAACCCACTGCTTGCATTCATGCATGTGGGTGTGCTCTCTCGCTTGTTCGCTCTCTCTCAGAAAAAGAAAAGTCACGGTGATGAAAACTACAACATTGAGAATATAGTCAGTTAATACTGTAATAATTTGTATGGTGACAAAGGTAACTACACTTACAGTGGTAAGCATTTTGTAATGTATATACTTGTTGAATCACTGTGTTACACACCTTAAAGTAAAAGAATATTATGTGTCAACTATATTTCAACTTAAAACAATAATTGAATAATTGGCCAAAAAAATCCCGATAGCTGTCAGTTTAAAGGAATGACCATAATGAAAATGGATTATTGTAGTGTATTGAAAAACAGAACAGGAAAAAGCCACACCACCCAAAGCAGCCACTATTAACATTTTGGCTATAATTTTTTTGGAATAGGTTTATATCTTTCTGTGGAGTTAAGTCAGAATGAGATTCTTGGCCTTATTCTTTTAGAGGATTTAGTACTGATTTAGCAATGGAATCTTAAAAGGAAAGTTGTTTAGAGAATATGTGAAAAACTATTAGACCATGCTTGATTTTGTAGTTGATTTGTAATGAGCTCACTGAAGCACAGGTAGGCCTTGTAACTTTGGAGAGAGTTGAAAGGGAACCCAGACTAGCTCTGGTCATTCAGGGAAGCCTGTGCACTTCCAGGAGAAGGTGACAACAGGTGGTGGTGTTCTCTTACTGTCAGAATCTTTGAGGATTGGGAATGTAGCTAGAAACGGCAGATACATTAGGATCATTGAACTGGATAAATGGAGATGGAGTTTTCTCCTCTGCTAAAGTTGGTTTGGAATATGAAAAGGAAATATTTTCATTCTGTGACTCTACTATAATTTTCGGCTTTTATCCTTCCTTACATTTGGATTGAGAGCACCAGCTAAGTCTTAAGACTCCCTCCCCACCTTGCTTTGTTTTGGGGTTTGTTTGTTTGTTTTTAGAATCAGCATTAGATATTTGCATTTGCATTTGGGGTCAGGCATGTTGTTCAGTAATTCTTGCAGTTGATGCATGTTTTTTATATTTCTAGATGCACGGCTTTTATTTTCTGGCTAACTGAAATTTCCTTATCCTCCTGTGCTGCAGTTCGGCAAGAACAGGAATTAAGAAATGGAGGAGCAATAGATAAGAAACTGACTACCCTTGCAGATCTTTTCCGGCCACCCATTGATTTGATGCATAAAGGCAGCTTTGAAACAGTAAGTTGTTGGAAATTTTAAGCCTTAGGTATGAATCCTTTTGCATTTTCAATGCCATTTTTTTCTTTCTAAGAACAAAAAAGTTTCCAGCATATAGAGAATCGGCATCTTAATAAGTATGACACAAGTGTGAGATACCTAAAAGTTTACATGATTTATATTTATGCCAGCAGTAAATGAGATGATTTGATAAAAATCCTTTTATTACCCTTGTGTGGTATCACTTTAGAATCTTTGCCATTTTGGTAGCTTTTGAAAAAAATCTTAATGTGTTTTAGTTTGTGTGTATCTTTGATTAGTACTGAGACTAGTGTGCCTGTGTTTATTGGCCGTTTGTGAATTTTAGGTATCTTTTGCCCATATTTCTATGGGAATCTTACTGTATTTTAAAAGAGTATCTATGTAGTTGCAGAATATATTCTCCCTCAGTTCTTGGTTTTAATTTGGCTAACGCCAAAGAAAAACTTTCCAGAGCAGGTTTATTTGATTGTCTGCTAAATTATAAGCTTAATGAGGGCAGGGGTAACATGTTTCTTTTTATTTTGGTAATCATTGAGACCCAGTTTATGGTATTTTATAGAAACATAGTATTTGTTAAACAAATGAGTTTGGTTAGGATTTTAAATATCCTTCTCTTAAAGTGTTCAAACAGCTGCTTTTGTGTGTTGACTAGCATGTTAATGCTCTTTTGAATCAGAATAGCATTTCCATAGATGTAAATCACTTAAATTTTAGGTAAGTCTTATCTGTTAGGATAAAGTGGGTCAAACAATCACAAAAATGAAGTTTGTAGCTACATATTTGGAAGTTAGTTATGCTTGATTTTTTAAAAAGATTTTGTACTTTGACATATTCCTATAGTGGCCTAAATGAAATACTCAGGATTAAAAATTTAACTGTAAGCCCATTCTTCAGTTTTAATTTTCTGAATTGTAAACTCTCAGAGTGTTTGGCTGCAAGTAACAGAAAATCCAAATGATGGTGATTTGACTAAACAAGCATTTCTTTTTGTTATGTAAAGAAGACTAGAGTTGATTGAGGGAGTTTTTGGTGTTCATTAGTCAGCTCAAAGATGTTTTCTTTCTTTGCCTTGTGATCTTAATATGGTAGCTGTGTATCCTCTCTACTGTTCTGGTGATAATTCAGCCATTGAGAGAATAGCAGCAATATAAAAGGCAAAAAGGACTTGAGTTTGTTTTGCCATGTTTCCCATTTTTAGTAGCTTCTGAGTTGTTCAGGGCTGAATGAAATAACTCTGCGTTTGATTTCGTTTGATCCCTTTGGGCTGATAAAAGCAGTTACTTTGATGCTTGTTCGTTGAGGGAAAATGTGAATCTTGTTTGATCTTGTCCTCTGAAGTTTGATTCACTTTAAGTTATTATATGACCTGTTTTTCTTTGTATTTCATGACCTATATTATTCGCAGCAATCTATCTTTTATTTACTGATAATATTAAGCTTTATTGTTTACAAGTCTTTAAATGACATAAACACTCCCACAAAAGGTAGGCATTTAATTATGGCTAGTGGTAAATCCATTAGTTTTATAAAAATTAGGGAGGTAATATACAAAATTAAGTCACTAAAGATTAAGGAGGTGAATGTTAAAAATTAGAGGGACACTCTTGCTGCTCAGGCAAAAGCCATAGGTTTGGGCACCATTTTAGATGTAGATTTGAGCTACAGTTTTACAGGTTTAGAAACTGGACTTTCTTAGTGTAACTAGAGGTAGAGTATGTTCAGGTGTTCTGGTTCATGCTAACCAAATGAGAAACTGATTAATTCACTTGTTTACTCAGGAACTATTTATCAAAGCCTTCTATTATAAGGTCTTGTTCTAGGTAATGGGGATTATATTTGTTGGGATAAAGATTTGACGGCATATGAGAGAGACCAGGAAGAAAAAAAACAGCTTAAAACAAGATAGAAGTCCAGATTGTTAGTGGTTCTGCTATATAAAGTTACTAGGAGTGGAGTTTTTTTCTGTATTTCACTGTTGTTTCCTAGGTCTTGCTTGCTTCTGTTTATATGATTCAAGATGGCTCACCACCTTGTTTGCTTTCCAGCCAGCAGAAGGGGGGGAAGGGGCACACTTTTTCCCTTGAAAGGCACAACCTAAAAGTTGTACATATCACTTCTGTTCACATCCCATTAAGCAGAACTCAACAACATAGCCACACATAGCTATAAGAGACACTAGGAAATCCAGATGCTTAGCAAAAATTGGAGCCTCTGTTACTAGGAGGGAGAAGGGGGAAATGGGTATTTGGTACCTATACGCAGTTTCTGCCATAGGGAGATAGTGATAAACAAGCTCTACAGAGTTCTTGCCATCAAAGAGTTTATAATCTAGGGGGAGAAACAGACTATAAACAAATAAAGAACATAATATATAACATATAATTAGTGTATATATATTTTATATGTATGTTTGGTATGTATGTATATATAGAGAGAGAGAGGCAGAAAGGGAGGGAGAGAGGAAGAAAAATTTCAGGTTATAATAGTTGCTGGGAGAAAGAAAAATAGAATAAGGGAAGGAGAGAGGGCTA